TTTGATGAAACTGTATTATGGATAGTCGATGGCCGGGATTCTGAATCTGAGGTCGGATGTTACATGTCAAAAAGAGTGAAGGAAGTAAATCGGGGTCGAAGAATCCGAATCTAAATTCGGCTTTTTAAAATTCTGAAGTTGATTTTATTCGGTTAGGGATTGCGCTTTTTGAGAAAATAACGATTTGTCATGAGGATTAATCGAGGGTAACCGTGGTCGGGAAAGTTGAATCTGAAGTCAATTCTTCAAAATTTTGAGTTTGATTTTTTCAGTCAAAGAAAGGGTTTTTCGAGAAAATAACAATATTTTAGAAAAATTGGGGCGTCTAAACGGGCGTCAGGGCATTTAACTCTTTACTATATTGCTGGAGGTTTGCCGCTATAATTTTAGAATCGGGATAAGTTTTTTTAAGGAAACAATAAGGTTTCTGTGTATTGAACATTGAGTGGTTTGAAATAAAAATGTGCTTGTGATATGGCAATGATTGGGAGAGTAACGTATTCAAATGCGTTAGCGGGATTGCAAGGTCGACTATCTCACTAGCGTAACCTATATCTGAGGCTTTGCCACAGGGTGAGTATGAGGTGTAGGTGTAAGGTAGAAGAATATCAACCGGCTCAGGCACATACTTACACCGACACCGACACTGACACCAACAACACAAAGTGTTCCTAATATCTAAATTCAAGTTTAAGTCAATGGAACATGATTGGCATCTATGTTTGCTGTGATTGCGTTTTTTCTGGCTTATTATTCGATTATTCGCATTTGCTTTTCAGCAAACCGTCTGACTCATGAAATTTCTTGCCACTATGACTGAAAGAAGGTAATATAAACAAATATATAAAAGTGAAGTCACATTTTTTTTACAATTAAAAGAGAGTAACTAGCTATTGCTCAGGTGGGTTCAAATAATGAAGCGACTAGCCGCGAGTAGCGTCCCGAAGGGGTACCGACGAACGACTAGTCATTCGAATTTCAGGTTCACTGTTGATTCCCCTTACAGATGGTCTACATAAATGTTAGGTTCTTTTGGCGAATACTGCACTAAGGTTCTCTTAGTGAGGAATTTAAGTGAACCTCTAATTGGCTAGCGAGGCAATGAAATTAAAGACATAAGGAATAGTGTACAATAAAGTTTCGGCTTTAAAGTTTCTCATGGAGAATTCTCGTGTTATAACTCTAACGACTTTTGAAGTTGTTGTAGTGTGATCATTGATATGTAGTATTTTCCTTTTTTTTCTTTCTTCTGTTCTCCTATCGTATATAGATGACATGTACAATACACATATTCTTCTCTCCTCTCCTTCTCTTCTCTTAATATAGTATAGATGTTTTCCATCTCATCATGTATTCTTCCAAGTGTGCTTAGGTTTTTTCCTAGTTCATTCATCTATATATAATCGTCGTTTTGAGAAATAAAAGAGTGTATGATTATTATTGATCAGTTGGATCGAAACTATTCACTAACAGGAACTAAGCAAAATCTAGAATTTGATAGGGTGTAAATCAAAGAGACTGGTCTTGTACCGGGATAGAATTCAGCATAATAGCGGCTAGCCGTGAATGGCGCCTCAAAGGGACGCTGACGAGTGACTAGCTGCTGCTCTGTGAAACTTCCTCAAGGAATGTTCCAGATTGTTATAATCCATCGGAAAAATGTCTACAGTGAAGATCTGGCAAGTTTAATAGAAACTAGAACTGGCAAAAAAGACTAAGAAATGTCTTCGAATGAAATGTGAGAACAGTTGTACTGCACGTGTACAATATTTGAATAGAACATTTGACGAAAAACATCATGCAATGAATTCAGTTCCGTCCATTCAAAGTAGATTTCAATGAAACCAAATAAGGTTTTCTGTCATCGTGTGTCCGTGTCTGTGGGCATTTACTCGTCTAAATTTATTCGAGTATTTTGGAATTCTCTGTCTAATCCGATGACTACTTTGAGTACAAGCGTCATTCAAGTGGCGTATTCCGAGAATAAGTCTGATCAAATATAATTTATTTTAATCTAAAAGTTCAGCCATATACGTGTTTTTGTAGTGAACCCTAGTAAATGATATTGTCGTTTGATGTGCTGATAACTATACGGATTTTTATTTGTTTTCAAAAAGTATGATGCGTTTTCACGCTAGTGTTGTGGATGTGCTTTCTTTGTTGATTGTCTCTCGGTACATTAAATGTAGTCTCTTTTCCCGAGGTATGTGGATACTGCTGCCGTAGTGTTATTCATTTAGATTTCTGTTGGATATCATTGAGAGTGTATCGGTTTCATTGGATGAATTTATAAGAAAACGTATCACGGACATACGCATGTCATTGTACGCAGAAACATTGATGCGAATGTCAATATTCGCATTCACATGAACCCTTTTCAAACTTTTGATACTAGCTGTGTTGAGGACTGCGAAGCAGTATACAATACCGAAACAGCTGAATATTCAGTCGAGGATTAAGCGAGTCACATAGACGAGCGTTACTTATTTTAGTCAATCGAGGTCGAGTTGGTGTTTGCGATCATAATTATTCAAGCTCTATCTTTGATAAAAATTTGGTGGAAAATAGTTCCAGTTTACCTTAGGTTTCACATGTCCTGGGACTTCTAATGGATACTGTATGACTAATATAATCAACTCGAATAATGGATTAACCTAGTCATATTTCTCGTCTACTTGCGAAGTTCTATGTTGTAAAAATGGTATTAATTAACGAGCGGAAATGATTCGCAGAAAAATGTGTCGAAAATAAGCCCCCACCGAGTATAAGAGCTTTAAACAACACTTTATCTAACCCTTCACTTTTGATTAAGCAGTGAATTCATACCAAGTTTACCGTTTTCTGGAAAAAAATGGTAAGTTTATGGATTTTGTGCAGGATTCCATGGAAAATTGTTCGCACGATATTGATGATGTTGTGAGTTAGAGTACACCAGAACATAGTCTATTAGCGAGTCGAAAAAGTTCTAAACGATTAAATTGGGAGGATCATCTTCAAACTTTAGGTATCAATAAATGTTTCCCTTGTTAACAAATTACTTTTGACCACTAGCTAGCTCACTGTATGGTCAAAATAGAAAAAAAGCTTGTTAGTGTAGCTCTTTTAGGGTTGAAATGTGAAATTCATATATGTTCTTCAGCTCCGTTATACTATTGTGAAATACAGAAAGTGTAAAATTAAGAATTTTATATTTTTGACTTTCTGATGGACGCTCTTATTTTTCATTTTCATGATTGCTATTCGCTCGCTATTTTTCATTTTTCTTTAAATTCGCTTTTCTTAATTTAACATTCTTATTATTATAATGATTGAAATAATTGGCAAATACGTCTTTTCTTGCATATCCATTATATCTATAGCAGATCTTATGCACTATTATATATGGGGTTGAGCAGTCTGGCTGGATGTCCCAATTCTATTTTTGTACATGTAGCTTCCATAGTATATCCGAAAACTATGATTTTTTTACCATTTATAGTACTCGTATAATGCTGACGATCTGCCAGGGATAATGGGTATATACCTTGTTTAAAATCAAAATAATTAAGTGTCTTCAAAAAATCTTCTGATGTTTACAAGCGATTTTTCGAAGAATTTGATTATTTTGGTTATAAACAAGGTATAGACCTCCTATTCTTGGTAGATCATTAGCATTATATGAGTACTACAACTAGTAAAAGAATCATAGTTTTCTGATATACTATAGAAGCTACGCGTACAAAAATAGAGTTGGGACATCCGACCAGACTGCTCAGCACCATATACTAAACAACGCACAAACAATGATGTTGATTATCTTTCAAAATTATAACTTAATCGATTTGGAGTAAAACTATAGAAAGTCTGATGCCTGTTATTCTCGATTGCAAAGGTCTGTAATGGGAAGTTGTCTGTAATAGGAAGGTTGTCTATAATGGATGGTTTTCTGTAATGGATGGTTGTCCGTAATGGGGGCTTCCGTTGCTAAGTAGTCTGTAACGGGGAGGGAAGATTGGGGAGTCCCGAAAACCTAAACTTAAAACTTACACTCACTATTTTCTTCGAAAATATATGTGCATTCCACAAAATACCTTCACTGATAAATGCGGTGAATTTTCCACGAGTGTAATTCAATTAAGATATGGTACCATAGAGAATATCGTGTTATATAGAGTGAGTATTATGGAATTCCAAAACCTTGAATATTTGTGTTTGTTTCACTTAAAAAGCAATTGAACTTCTTACATATTAATTTGATTTTTAGTTCCAGAGACTAAGCTAATTAAACTCAAAATAAGGCCGAGCATTTGTTCCTTGATTCATAAGGAATCACTGTAGTGACCTATTTAGGTCTGTCCAAAAGTTCTCAGATTATTAAAAAATATAAAGACAAGGAGAAAGTTCAAGTTTTATTTTATTAAATCTTCAAAATAGTCACCATGATTATTTATACAAAGTTACATCCTTTTTAATAGTTTGTCAAAAGTTTTTTTTTAATTCTTCTTTTGGAATATTTTTCACTGCCTTGGAAACCGCATGAGCCAATGATTTTTCATTTAGTTGATCAGTTAAATTCCGTTTGATGTAATCATTTAGCCAATAATCACATGGTGCAAGGTCAGGTGAATATGGAGGATGCGGCATAATACATTGATACGTTCTTCTGTTGAATAATTAATAACATCTGAGTAACAACGGGATCCAGCATTACCATGAAGCAATTTTATACCTTTTGTACCATCTGACCTTCTTTGTTTCCATATCTCTTTGACAATAAGCTTGAGGCAATTTTCAATATAATAGTTGTGATCTATAGTCCTGCTTTCATCAACAGCATGTATAAGAACAGGACCATTTGATTTAAAGAATATACAAAATAAATTTTTTAATTCAAATTTACTTCGACGAACAATAGTTGTTGGTGATTCACCTTCACTAACCCGGTTTGCATTGTTTGACTTGTGACCAATCTGCCTATGATAAATCCACGTCTCATCATCTGTCATAATATCACATAATCGTCAGAGACCATTACGAAGTTTCGCCAAGTTCTCACGACAAAATTTAACACGTTCTTGCTTTTGTTCATCAGTCAGTTGATGGAGTACCAAACGTGATGTAATTTTTTTCATCTTAAAACAATCGTGAATAATTCGTGCTATTGTACCATGGGATAGAGATGTCTCAGCTATAATATCATCATAAGTTGAATGTGAATCATTGTTAATAACCTCTTGTACTAGTTCAATATTTTCATCTGTAAGTTCGGAAACCGGACGACCCGATCGAGGATCGTCATTGACATCTTCTCTTCCTTCACGGAAACACTTTGCCCACTCTGCAACTGTTGGATATGATGGAACCTTGAGTCTCAAAGCTGTTGCAAGTTCTTCGTGAATTGTCTTTGGATTTATCCCCAAAATAGTTCGAATTTTTATACAATATCGATTGTATTCATTACTCATTTTTGAATATTTTTTTAGTTCGAATTAAAGTTTATCGAAAAAAGTATTGTTACTAACAATGGAAGGGTTTGAATTGTTGAGCTCAGAAGTTAATCATGTTTGGGTCAAATGATCACTTTCACCGAGAAACTAACGAATTTAAAATATGAGCTGCCATTGCCTTCCCTGAACAGAGATATTTAATTTTTAAGTTATGCATTATTGTAGTATAGAAGCATGATAATATATGAACTATTCATATAAACGTTTTAATATAGTCATTAGATTTTTTAGAAAATGACTTTCTAAAATCCTGGAGAAACTGATTAATTATATTCAGGCTTCTCTAATTACAATTTCTTCTTAAGTTTCATGGTACCAAATGGGTGAAATATCGACTATTATATATAGGAATCCATGATTTACCCATCTTTTCGACTTTATTTTGCTGAAAAAATAAATTACAGAAACAATATTTGAAAAGATGTATTACAAATGGAGATGAAGATCTTCAATTAAATGATAATAACACAGGTGTTTTCTGCACCAAACAAAATTTAGAAGAGTTCGTTCTTCACAACGAATAATTGAGCAATAAAGATCATAAAATTTAAAGCAAACATCGTTTGGTTTGTTGATTTCACCAACTGTTTCGTTGAGTATCTTGGCTTGCACGAATCCAGACTTGATCAGACTTTTAAATTGTGGAGCAGATAATTGATTATGAATGATCGAATGCATGTTTACGAAATATTGACGATCATTCGAGTTCATTACTGTTTGATTGATATGAACATAATGCTCTATTTTCTTGTGAAAATATCGCCATGAACGAAATAAAGATAAATCTTGAGGTTGAATATGACCAGTTGATCCTTTAGGAAAGATCAATAACTGACTGTCTTGATGTGAAAATACTGCTCCAAATTTTTTTAGATCAGTTTGAGTTGTCCAACAATCAAGAAAAAGAAGCAATTTTTTTCCAACCAAAGGTCGCAGAACTTCATTTTAAAAAGTGCGATGTTTTTCATCGTTACTTTTTCCAGATTTCGAAGCCCGGTCTAAGACATTTGGTGGTACGATTAAATCTTTTTCTACTGTTTTACCGAATTCATTTTCTTTTTCTCGGAGAATAAGGAAGAATTTTTTTAATAATTGTCCATCAGCTGATGTAACTGGCTGCACGGTATAAGAGTGCGTGATATTATTCTTCTTTTTAACAGCAACTTCTGTTGTTCTTTCGCCAGTGAAGGAAAGAGTTCTTGGAGAAATACATTCTTGTTGAAATGAGTAATGGTCACTGTTTAAAATTTGACGAGAAGAATAATTCGAAATTAAAGATCTTTGATTTTTGATCCAATCGTGAGCATCTAAAATACACATATATATCGCATGAAGATAAATAGATCAGATCTCAAATAAAAATGTATATACCTTTTAAACTACATGTTTTTCTGGTTGAAGAAATTCGAGTAATACATTTGTTGTATCTTCTGGATGAGATTTGATATTCTCGTTTGAACATTTTGATAAATGGTTCACTTGCTTTAAAATTATCCCAATTAAGTTCTCTTGCTTTCTGAACTGCAAAAAGTTCTAGATCACTATCATGAACTGCTTCTTTTTCAATTGCTCTTTTCAAATAAAGTTCGTTCCACATAAATTCTTTGATTTTTTTCAGTGTTTCTAATCTTGTACCGCTCGTTTTAATATACTCTCGAAATCTTGCGATATAATGCATGTATTTAACTTTCCGGAAACTATGCTTAATAGTTGCAATTTTGCAATTCGGATGTTGATCAACCCATTTCACTATAGCTTCCATCTCTTCTAATGTAAAATTATTTCGAATATTAAAATACTGATTTTCATCGTTATCGTCAATATTATCTTCTTCGTCAGTTGATTCTTGTTCATCAATGCCGTCTTTTTCGTCCGTTATTACATCATATTCATCATTAAAATCAAGAGTTTGATAAGTATATAGTTCATTAAAGTAACTATCTTTAAATGTCTTTAAAATTTCAAATAATTGTTGTGAAGCAAAAGTTTCATCAGCACTCGGTATAGAATCTTCAAAGCCATATTCCATTTGTGTTAAATGTAAAAGATGCTTCGCAATGTTTACTAGATTCATATCTTGATTTGATGAGATCTATCTTTCTTAGTGTTAGTGGTGGTGAAAAATAAGAGAGAATGTTATTTTGAATACGCATTTGATTGAAACTTACGAATACCAATCATAAAGGAATATACTATAAATTATGAAGTGATGCGTTAATGCAGTTAATTGTTTTGATACATCACGTATGGACACTTTGCAACATACTACTTGTTCTTTGCTCATTCGGTACTATGAAACTTAAGAAGAAGTTGTAATTAGAGAAGCCTGAATATAATTAATAAGTTTCTCCAGAATTTTAGAAAGTCATTTTCTAAAAAATCTAATGACTATATTAAAACGTTTATATGAATAGTTCATATATTATCATGCTTCTATACTACAATAATGCATAACTTAAAAATTAAATATCTCTGTTCAGGGAAGGCAATGGCAGCTCATATTTTAAATTCGTTAGTTTCTCGGTGAAAGTGATCATTTGACCCAAACACGATTAACTTCTGAGCTCAACAATTCAAACTCTTCCATTGTAAGTCCGAAATAGAGTTACTGTATCTATAATTATAGACAACCCACTTCACTATTTATTCATGCAAAAAACACTTCAATGCTAATTGGTTTATAAAATTGCCAATAGTAATCTGGAAACTTTTGGATAGACCTAAGTATAAATTTTATTGAGGAAACAAATATGTAAAAAGAAAGTTTCGTTTGAGCCCAGGCTGGGCCGAGTGCGCCTAGCGAATAAACTGCATCGAGTTGGGTCGGCCTGAACAAAACTTGAGTTGAGCCGGTCAGGCCTAAATAATTTTCGCGCCACACCGGACAGGACCGAACCATAAAATTGTGGGTCGTTTCGAGCTCTGCTATCAATTTCCATAAGTTTTCTCTCTCTTGGCCTCGATCGATGAACAGAAAATTTCATAGGACTATAAATTCCACCTTAGCTTTTTAAGCTAATTAAATGCTTCGTCAAACATAGAAATTTGAAATCAATTGTATACGTATTATGCTTATCATAATAGACTTAATTTATTATCTCTAATCTCTCTGAGAAAGATATCACATAAATAATGCAACATGAAAATAAATATATGATAAATTGCAATGATGAACAATGATTCTATTTTGTTTTGATAATATAAATTGGTATTGAAGTGAGTTAATAAAATATATTAAGCATATTTTGATGAATATTCATTTATAGAAATATTTTAATATATGTTCCCCAGTAGAAATAGCCATTGATATCAGTAAAAATTAGTTTGATTTGCAAAAAAAACACTTCTATGATCAATGTTTTCAAAAACAAAGCATGCAAAAACTCAAAAACTCTATGCCGGTCGACAAAGAAAAAGTTGTATGCACAGACTAGTAAGGAATCCTTGACTGGACCGAACCGGATCGACTGTTTACCATTACCGGTTACAATTCTACAGCAAAATCTCGAAACTCAGTTCATTTATAATCATCGCTGACGTTTCATTTCTTTCATTGTTTTGAAATATTCCTGTAACATTAAAGTGATCTAGTCATGGTTAAAATGCTATACTTTAGTAAAAAGTACATGCTGAAAGTACAATCACAAGCAGTGATGACTCGACCAAGTGGGATCTCAAGGACATGACATACAGTAAACAGTCAGACGACAAAATGTTTTTGCTTGTACTCTAATTTTCTCAGTCACATGACGTGCATAAAAGTTGAATAGTATCTCATATGAAAATACATTAAGCGCGCTACAAAATGCATAGTTACTTGTTATTAAAAATCCTTTGCTGCAACACGTTTTGTCAAAAATACTGCAAAATCTTTTTCTCCTGACCTTTGCTTACTGTCCACTATGTGACAGATGCTTTCCTCCAATAATTGGAGATTTTTGTTATTTTTACCAATTAAAAGGCCGGAAAACAAACAGGAAGTAGGAGTTTGTTACGCCTTTTCCAAAAAATACTCAATTAAATAAGTTCCCATGTACAAAAAATGACGAGAAAAATCAGATTTTAATTGACTTTTTTCTGATTAATAATCGTTTAAAATGGCACAATTTTAAACCGATTTTAATCGTTTATTAATCAGAAAAAAATCGATTAAAATCAGATCGTTCCCATTTTTTGCATGGATAGCTTTAAATCGATTTTGATCTATTATTATTTCTTAATGAGTTTCAATTTATTCTTACTCATTGTTCGATTTCAATCTATTCCTACCTGTTTCTTGATTTTAATCTAGTCTTACCTGTTTTTCGAATGTAATCTATTCTTACTTGATAATCGATTTTAATCGATTCTTACTTCGTAATCGATTTTAATCATATGCATCGAAGATATGTGTTTTTCTCGAGATTTGAACGCGAAACCCTAATTTTGTCATTTTTTTTAGATTCCTCGTGGCAATAAATCATGAAGCTGAAACTCGACAAATACAATAAAGTTGGAACTGGTATATACATTGTTTCACTTGAGATTGCGCAATTACTTCATTAATCGATTAAAATAGATTAAAACGCGGAAAATTGACTAAAATCTATCGAAACCAAGGAAAATCGATTAAAATTGTTTAAAGCCAATCCCATTAAAAAAATGACGGAAAAAATCTAATTCTAATCAATTTTTTTCTATTTAATAATCGATTAAAATCAAATCGCTCCCATTTTTTACATGAATACTTTTGGGTTTTATTCCATTCTTACCCGTTGTCCAATTTCAATCTATTCGTACCTATTTTTTCGATTTTAATCTATTTTTACCTGTTGTTCGATTTTAAGCTATTCTTACTTGATAATCAATTTTAATCCTATGTATCGAAGATATATGTTTTTCTCGAGATTCGAACGCGGAACCCTAATTTATTCATGTTTTTTTGGATTTCCTGTGGCAATAAACCATGAAGCTAAAACTCGACAAATACAATAATGTTCAAATTGGTATATCGATTATTTCACGTGAGATTAGGGATGCACCAGTCCCAGTCCGACTGGTGAACTGGGTATTATTTGAATTGGATTCCGAATCGGACTAGTACCCAGTTAGACTTGTATCGAGTGAGACTAAATACTAGTGCGACTGGAACTGATTCGACTGATTATCAGTCAGAGGTGGATACCCAGTCCGACTGAAACTGGTGCATACCTACTTGAGATTGCGCAGTCACTTCATTAATCGATTAAAATCGATTTCAACTGAGATTAATCAATTTTAACCGATTTTTATTCAGAAAAAATCGATTAAAATCAATTATACCTGAGATTAATCGATTTTAATCGATTTGCGGCTCGAATTTAATCAGATTTTACTCCTTTTAATCGATTTTTCTCGATTTTTCACTGATAAATTAATTTTAATCCTATTTCCAGCCTTGGTTTTTGTGAAACACGATCTAAAAGGAGTGTCGAAGTGTGTAGGATAGAAATTTGCACCTCCCTCTCCCCACAGACGTGACAGACATCTTAGCAAACAGTCGTCACAGACGTGACAGACACGTTAGAAACGGCTTATCACAGTTGCGACAGACACCTTAGCAACATCGGTTCCGTCGCAGACCGTGACAGACACCCTTAGCAACGCTGATTGTCCATCACAGACCATGATAAACATCATTATGGGACTATTACAGACCGCATTTTACAACCCAAGCAGCTTCATCGTGTTTTACATTTTAATCCTGCAGGGATTGCGCTAACAGCTTTTTTAGATGGATATATAAGCTATTTCAATTGAGATCGCTCAATTACTGATTAATCGATTAAAACCAAGGTAAATCGATTAAAATCGTCTAGATTTTTCATCAATTATTTGAATTTCCTCAAAAGATCGATTAAAATCGATTATTTGGACACACTAAAATAAAATGTGCCGCATTATGTGTCGCATGTGTCGCAACGAGTAGCTCGTGTTATATTTCTTGCGTTCTCTGCTGGATATATAACAATATCTATAGTGCAGAACGCAAGAAATACGACACGAGGTGCCCGTTGCGACACATTTTATTTTAGAGTGGATTTTCTCGAAAAAAATTGATTAAAATCGATTTTAGAAATAATCGATTATTAGGATTTCCTTCAAAAAAATCGATTTTGACTGAATGAAATCGATTATAATCGATTCTTGGCTCAAATTTAATCAAAATTTACTTCTTTTAATCGATTTTTACCGACTTTTCTTTCGAAAATCGATTTTAATCTGATTTTTAGACTTGTTTTTTTTACATGGGCTCTTATTGAACAAGATATCAAGTGAAATTAAAATTTTTCCCTTCGCAAAAAAAGTAATAACCAGACAATTATAATCGACCTAAAAACTCCAATATACATTTCAATATTTTATTTTGGTTTTTTTACGTCTGAAGAGCTTTGCTTTTGAACATTCATCACGAGCGTTATCGCTTTCAGCAGAAAAAACTTATTAACAAACATCATAGGTTACATTTAACGATGGTTTTGTTTTTGGCAAACAACGACACAAAAGCAGGATTTCTACCAGTCGACAAAGAATTTTCGCTTTGGCAAATAGTATCAATTGTATAAGCGTGAACAAATTTTAAAGGCTTAAAACTTAATTCTAAGGCGTTTTAATTAATTCTGCTTTCTAGAAAGTATAACTTCGATCAATAGTTGCTGGTGTGAACGCCTTCAGCGTTAGAAGTATCTAGAAACTTTTTTAACTACCATACAAAGACTGTTTTCTTCTTCAAAAGGAAAAAAAGATAAAATCAAGTTTTTCCCATTTGATACGATATTCATGAGTCGAAAAAATTCGCTGAAACATAATGAACCAAAGAAGATCACATTGACTTTATTGAAAAAATGCGGGTGTCTTTCTCAATCTTAATCAGCTCAGAACATATGTATATCCCTCTTTTACTTATTCATTTTTCTATCGTCATACATTTATGTTCGTCCCTCTTCTTTTTAATGTATGCGTCCTTTACGCGATAATATCTATTGAACTGCATTGCCTATACATAAAATA